GCAAGCGACTTGTATTAAAGGCTGGTCTTTGCTGGCTGGGGATTCTGGGAGTTGAAGTCCACACACCTTACAGTTGCTAAAAGTTGAGAAATCCTCACCCGGAGCCTTGTCAAGCAATACTAAACCAAGCCCAGGGCACGGATCTCTGCTTGCAGCCCCTCCCCGCAACTGACCCCCTCCAGATCGGTGGGTCCTTTGGCCGCGTCCCTGGCCAGCCTCCTCCGAGTGGTGCCGAGGCAGAACAAAACCCGTCCCCGTGCCAGGAATGCCAGCCTGTTCTTCCAAAGCGCTGCCTGTGCCGTTACGTGGCTGGCCGGCACGTCCTGACCTGCTGGAGGAACAGGGGCCCAATGGCCGCGTCCCTCCCGGCTGTCTCTAAGGCCTAAGCCTTTGTTTGGGTCTGAGCTGAACCCGTCTGGCTCCTGCCAGTCTTCTCTCGCCTGCCCCAAATCCTCCCAGCTATTTCGGGCATGGAACGAACGTTGCGAGAAAGTTCCCAAGCCGACTGCACTTAAATGGGGGTTAAAATGGAGAGGATGAATCTGAATGTTACGCTTCCTATTTTTTACCATGCTTGACGTCTTATTTCCTTTATTTTTCTTGTAATTTTTTTTTATTTTTTAACAACCAACAAACAAACATAAACTCAAAATATAAAACCTTCTTTCCATTGTAGAATGTGTCAGTCAGTATAAATCTTGTACACAATATCAACAGTCCTTCTAACTACATTATTAAAATTTATTTTACATGAATCTGCATATTATCTTATATTGTTCTTAATTACTGATTGGACTTTATTTATAAACTATATCATCCTTTTCGAGCAATTTTCAGTTTCTAAGATATCTCAATTCATAATATTCACTCTGTTATAATTCATTATAACGTATTACATTGTCTTACATTTACTCTATCATGGTATTTATATTGTATTATAACCTATTTCCCTATTCTCTTTTCTAACCATTGATAATTTGACGCCTTCTTTCCTGTCTCTTTCAGGTTCCAGAAACATGTCCACACCTATCGGATTTTGCCTGACGAGGAGGAGTTTTTGGCTGTCCAGGTGAGCGCTTCCATTCGTCCTCTGGTTTCCCCAGCGGTGACCTTTGGAACCCCTTCTTGCTTGGAGTTAGGGATTCTCAGCCTGAAGGACTTTTAAGACTTGAGGACTTCAACTCCCAGAATTCCACGAAGCCGACACTGGAGGGGGAATCCTGGGAAGTTGAAGTCTGCACAACTTAAAACTGGCTGAGAACCACTGCTTTAGTCAGGAGTATCGTTCCTTCAACACTTGTGACTTTCCGAATTGCTCATCTGGAATTCCCCAGGCAGACAATAACAGATTAACAGGAGTTGGAAGGGATCTTGGAGATCTTCTAGTCCAACCCGCTGCTGAAGCAGGAGACTGTATACCATTTCAGACAAACGGTGGTCCAGTCTCTGCTTAAAAGCCTCCAGTGGTGGGCGATTCACCAGGAAGGAAGGAAGGAAGGAAGGAAGGAAGGAAGGAAGGAGTGAGTTTTATCCTGACAGTCTCAGGGTTGACTCATGGTTCCGTCCTTCCGAGGTGGGTAAAATGAGGACCCAGATTCTTGAGGGCAAGAGGCTGACTCTGCAAACCACTTAGAGGGGGATGTAAATCACTGTGAAGCGGTATATAAATCTAAGGGCTATTGCTATTCACAATTTCTGGTGGTAAGCTGTTTCACTGGTTAATTTGCACCAAGACATATTCCTTGTGTGTGTCCAATCACACTTGGCCAATAAGGAATTCTGTTCTGTTCTATAATTTTCTATTTTATTCTATTCTATATTCTATTCTGTTATTTTCTATTTTATTCTATTCTATATTCTATTCAATTATTTTCTATTTTATTCTATTCTATATTCTTCAGTTTCCATCTGTTGCTTCTTGTCCTGCCTTCTGGGGCTTTGGAGAATAAATGGACCCCTTCCTCTTTGTAATACCCCCCCACCGAATATTGGAAGACTGCTATCATGTCCACTCTAGTCCTTATTTTCATCATAAACTAGACGTACCCAATTCCTGCAACCGTTGTTCATATGTTTTATCCTCCAGTCCCCTAATCATCTAGGTTGCTCTTCTCTGCCCTCTTTCCAAAGTCTCAACATTTTTTTTTATATTGTGATGACTAAAACTGGGTTCAATTTTCCAGATGTGGTCTCACCAAGGATTTATAATTGCTTATTTATTTATACAATAAATAAATATATTTATTTAGTTTAGTTTAGTTTACTTTATTGTCATTGCACCTCGCACAACGAAATCAAACACCATCTTCAGGGCACATCATAGCCATGAAGATAAACACAAACGCACACCCTTCACCCTCCACACACTGAATGGAAAACCCCTGATAATGCATTCATATTGCACTATACAGCAGAATGCAATAGAGCTGCTGCCCTGGGATAGAAGCTGTTTTTCAGCCTATTTGCCCTTGTTTTTATTATTCTCCTGTACCGTCTGCCAGATGGTAATAGTTCAAAAAAAAGGCTTCCCAGGATGAGATGGATCTTTGAGGATGTTTTGAACTTTCTTGAGGCAGCGGGAGCTATGAAGCTCTTCCAAAGAGGGGAGAAGGCAGCCAATGATCCTCTGGGCAAAGACGTTCACCCTCTGGAGTGCTGTCCTATCTGCCCCTGTGCAATTGGTAAACCATACAGACGTGGAGTAAGTTAAGATACTCTCTGTGGTGCAGCGGTAGAAGGTCACCAGCAGTTTTTCATTCAGTTTTTCATTTATTGTACCCTATGACTGTCATTAAGTGTTGCACCTGATGATTCTTGATGTCTCTTTTCGTTTATGGACACTGAGAGCATTTGCACCAAGACAAATTCCTTGTGTGTCCAATCACACTTGGCCGATAAAGGAATTCTTATTCTATTCTGTTCTGTTCTGTTCTGTTCTACTCTACTCTACTCTACTCTACTCTACTCTACTCTACTCTACTCTACTCTACTCCACTCCACTCCACTCCATTCCACTCCACTCCACTCCACTCCACTCCACTCCATTCTATTCTATATATTCTATTCTATTCTTTCTTATTCTATTCCAATCCATTCTATTCTATAAAGGGATATTAACACTTCACATGACCTTGATTCTAACCCTCTGTTAATGCTGCCTAGAAGAGTTTACCAGACCAACCAGGCTGACGGTGATCAGTAGAGGACAGTGGCCCATGGAGGAATCTTAATAGTGGGAATTCTGGAGGCTGAATTTCTAAAAATTTCTTGGGCTACGCATTTCCGTGTCCTGCTTCCCTGCCAGACCTTCCTTTGTCCCCTTCCTGACGCTGAGCTCTGTATGAGGGTTTGCTCTCCACACACACACACACACCACCTGGAACTGGCCCAACAGGAAGACAAATTGAGGCCTGCCGGGAAATTTGGGTCATGCGCCTCCTTTTCTGCATGCGGCATCTTCCCGGCTGCTTCTCTTGGGCAGCCCCGGCTGGTGAGAGCCCAGCAGATGCCCACACAGTGCTGATCTTGGGGCGAGGCCAGCTGGACTCATTGACGGGGCAACAGGGAGGCTATTGTGCTCCGTGCCAAGGAGGAATAAGTGAGGAGGCGGGCGAAGGGTGCGCCAGCTGCGGAAAGGAAGTTTGTGGGCTGACGGGGCATCCTGAGCCAGCCGTTCGGTCTGCGTGGCAAGCGGGCAGCCGAGCCAGGCCGGAATGGGCCAGCCAGAGCCCCCTGGTCAGGACACGTCCATCCCAAAGATTAGCTTCATCCTGGCTAAGCCAGAACCATAGTTAATCCTTCACAGAGCCTGACTGGGGGGTCTTTCTTAAGAAATCAAACACAAGGTACACATAGTACTTGAATGATAATAGCTCATTGACTGACCGTCCGAAATTATAAAGGCACTGAAAAATGTGGCTTTTCACCATTTCTCACACTTGACACCAGGGGTCTCCAACCTGGGCCCCTTTAAGACTTGTGGACTTCAGCCCCCAGAATTCCTTAGCCAGCCAGGAATGATAGAGTTGGAAGAGACCAGAAGGGTCATCTAAGTCAGGGGTCTCCAACCTGGGCCCCTTTAAGACTTGTGGACCAACCCCCAGAATTCTTTAGCCAGCCAGGAATGATAGAGTTGGAAGAGACCAGAAGGGTCATCCAAGTCAGGGGTCTCCAACCTTGGCCAGTTTAAGACTTGTGGACTTCAACTCCCAGAATTCCTCAGCCAGCCAGCAAACTTCAGTATAACAGAGTTGGAAGGGACCCTAGAGGTCTTCTAGTCCAACCCCCTGCTCAAATAGGAGACCTTGTTAATTCTTCTCCCTGCTAGGAAGTTTCTCCTGAGTTCCAGGACGCCTCTCTCCTTGATGAGTTTCCATCCGTTGCTTCCTGTCTTCTGGGAGGAAGGGGGCCTGGGTGAGGGGTTGGACTAGATGACCTACAAGGTCCCTTCCAACTCTCTTAATCTAACCTGAACTGAATTGTGCCGACAGAGAGAGTGGGAGGGAGAGGGAGGGAGGGGGAGAGGGGGGGAGGGAGAGAGTGGGGGAAGGGGAGGGGGAGAGGGGGAGAGAAAGAGGGAGGGAGAAAGAGAGGGAGAGAGAAAGAAAGAGACAGGCTGAGAAAGAGAGAGAGGGAGAGATGGCTGAATTCCCCCGTCTGCAGCCCAGGGGCCCCCCAAGCTGCCCTCCCCAGTCCTCCCCGTTCTCAGGGGGGATCCCGGTGTCCCCTCTTCTCCCCAGGCAGGCGGCTCCTCCCTCCCCGAGGCCTCTTGGGGTCCTTCGGCCTGCTGGACGGTGTCCTTCCCTTCCTGCAGACGTCCCAGGGAGTCCCGGTGCGACGTTTCAAGACGCTGAGCGAGCTCATTGCCCTCTACCTGCAGCCAAACCAGGGCCTGGCCTGCACTCTGCTCTTCCCTGTGGAGCGGGAGAAGGAGAAAGAGAATGCGGAGGAGAGGGACTATTCCGGTACCAATCAGCCCCTCCCCTCCCTCCCTCCCTCCTTTTCTCTTCCCTCTCTCCCCCACAACCCTTCCTTCCTTCCTTCCTTCCTTCCTTCCTTCCTTCCTTCTTTCTTCTTCCCTCCCCCCTTTCTTTTTTCCTTTCTTCCTCTTTCCCTCCATCCCTTCCTTTCTTCCTTTCCTTTCCCGTCCCTTCCTCCCTCCCTTCCTCCTTTTTCCTTCCTTCCCTCCCTCACACCCTTCCATTCCTTTCTTCCTTCTCTTCTTCCCATCTCTTCTCTCCCCTCCTCTCCTCTCTTAGGTTCTCTTCTTCCTTCCTTCCTTCTTTTCTCCTTCCCTCCTTTCTTTTTCCTCCCTCCTTCCCTCCCTCCCATCCATTCCATTCTTTTCTTCCTTTCCTGTCCCTTCCCCTCCTTCCCTCCTTCCCTCCCTCCTTTCTTTCCTCCTATTCCTTTTTTCCTTCGTACCTTCCCTTTCCCTTCCCTCCTTCCCTCCTTCCCTTCCCCTCCCTTCCTCTTCCTCTTCCTGCCGCTGTTCCTGGTGGTTCTGGGGGGGCCCCACGGCAGCTGATTTTCTCTCTTGCAGACGGGGAGGACGAGAAGCCCCCCCTGCCCCCTCGCTCGGGCTCCACCAGCATTCCTGGGGGCAGCAGCCCCTCCCTCCTGACGACAACCCCCCCTGCAGTGCAGGACCGAGCCCTGGAAAGGTAAGGAGGAATCCCAGGCTGGGAGGCAGGGAGAAGAACAGGATCCCCCCCCCAGCCCCCCCCCACCTCAACCCACAGATGCACCCCTCCCCCACCCTCTGGGCTAAGACCCACCGACCTCCAGGCTTCCGTTTTTTTTGGGGGGGGAGGAAAAAGGCCGGATTTATTCACTGAAAAAGTACACAACTTGAGGCACTAGCAACTTGGTACAGGTAGATCTGATTTTATTTCTTTTTTTTTTTTTTTGAAAACAGTTTTATTAATTTTAACAACAAACAAAAACACATATGACATAAAAACATCATCCTTTCCTTCATGAGTTTACAGACAGTGTATCGGCCGGTTTATCACACTTTTTTTGTGTGCATCCATTTCATAGTCTCCATTGTAGTTATATTGCATGATAGCTCATATTATCAATCAACAATTATATAGCCTGATATCATTATTAAACAATCATTTGACTATAATTTTATTAATTCACACTTCTTTCTTTATGTATTTAGTTGAACTGATGCCTAAAAAAAAAGGAAACGCCCAAAAGAATAGAACCATCACAATAAAACACGGAACAAGATTTACAAGCATTATAAAACGGAACACTGTAAAATAAACATTAAAAATTCAAGTAACGTTTGGTGTTTCACCCAAAAGTCTCCTGCAGAAATCGGAGACTTTGAACCCAGAATTAAGATCAAATCAATATTTGGTGTTAGCATGGATGACGTTAGCTAGTTTGGTAATGAGACGTCTGCAAGGAAACCCCCAACCCAAGGGCTTGGCTTCTTGTAAGGTCGCTGCAAGAAATACTGGTGGCCCAGCACCTGAGTTTTGGTCTTGTGACCCTGGAGATGCTGCAGGGGTTGTAAGTGCGAGGACTGATTGATTGTAAGTCTCTTTTTTCCATCCCTGTGCAGCCAGCAGCAGAATCAGACAGTGAGGAAGGACGGGGACCAGTCCGGGAGTCTGGAGAGGATTCGGACGAGGGTCCTGCGTTCGATGCAGGGATGGGGCCAGGATTATCTGGGAGTGGGGTGCTGGCTCCGGAGCCTCTGGGATCTGGCAGCAGCGAGGCAGAGGAACAGCAGGAGCCTGTTCCCAGTGCGCACTTGCACAAAGGTGCCAGAAGGCTGGGAGGTGATGGCCCCTCCCATAAGGGATAAAAGTCAGACCTCGATGATGAAACCTTTTGCAGGAAGCAAAGTAGTTCAGTTAGATTCCGAGTCCTTCTTGAAGCTCTGCGTACTCTGGTGGTTTTTTTCTGGTACTTCGGGTGGGTTCTGTTATAATTACTTTAGAGACTTCTGTTTTTGGCAACGTTCGCCAGCACTGACAAGCATGGGCTAATTGTTGTGGTTCGCTGGCAGCGGGTGCGGACGGCTGAGGCCTCGGAGAGTGAGGACTCGGATGAGGGGCCTGCGTGGGATCCGGGATGGGGCCAGGACCATCAGGGAGTGGAGTGCGGCCTTCGGAGCTTGTGGAGGCTGGCAGCAGTGAGGAAGAGGCCCCCGAGGAGCCTGTGCTCAGGCTGCATGCACACAGGGCTGTTCGAAGGAAAGAGCAGCTGCAGCAGCACGGGCAACTCGGGAGTAAGGCTGCAAGGTAATGGCCCCTCCCTTAAGGGATAAAAGCCAGCTGAGAACCCGGAGTTCTTTGCAGGAAGCAAAGAAGTTTTTGCACTCAAGCCTTGTGGATGCTCGGAGTATCTGAGTTGGTGTTTGGAGACTCTTTGATTTATTGTTTAGTAACTTTATCTGGTGTTCTTGGCAGCCTTGCAAAAAGTTGTCCAGGCTCTTTCTTATCGGAGCTAATTAGTTGGAAGCAGCCTTTGATCTGGGAAGGAAGCGGATTCGTAAATGAAACATTAAAAGGTTTTGCTGATATCTTTGTCTCGTGTTTGCCCTCTTGGAATCGGTATGGGTCAGATCACGTATCTTGGGGAACTGTGTATAATTAGTTCTGGCTGGAAATGAAAGTAATTTATTTATTTTATTTTTTATTTATTTTATTTTGTCAAGCGATTATTAGATAACAGGTATAAGTATATACATAGTTATGAATATATGAAATGGGTACATATAAGAAGAATAAAAGAAACAATAGGACAGGGACGGTAGGCGCATAGGTGCGCTTATGCACACACCCCTACAGACCTCTTAGGAAAGGGGCGAGTGAGGTCAAGAGTAGACAGTCTTAGGTTAAAGTTTTGGGGGTTTCCTAGCGTTGCATTAAAAAGGTTTTGCTTTTCAAACAAGTTTGTGTTTCAATCAAGTATTTTGTTTATTACCATGTTTTCGGAAGGTACATCATCTATTTTCCAGCTTTGGGCGTAAGCAATTCTTGCCGCTGTTAATATGTGTTATTACGTATTGGATGTGTTTCTTCAGGTTTCCTTTGATCATCCCCAATAAGAAAGTTTCTGGCTTAAATTCAATACCGTACCCCGTAATTTCTCTTATCCATTTCTTCCATTTGTCCCAGTAATTTTTTTAACTTTGGGGCATTGCCACCACGTATGATAGTATGTTCCGTCCGTGAGCTTACAACATTTCCAACATTGCAGTTTCATATTCGGGTATATTTTGGACAATCTTGCCAGTGTCAAGTGCCTCCAGTTGGTGTTTCAGTACGTTTGTCGAAGCCTGGGTCAGAACAGCGATGCGTTGAAACACGGGCTCTGTTTTGTTTTCCCGTCTCTCTCAGCCCCACCAATGGACTCAGCACCATTTCCCACGAATACCTGAAAGGCAGCTACTCCCTGGACCTGGAGGCGGTGAAGGGAGGGGCCAGCAACCTGCCCCACCTCAACAAAACCCTCGTCACGTCCTGCCGACGCCTGCACAGGTGAGGCCATCCGCACGAGCCTACGATTGTGGGCTGAGCAGGGACGAAAAGAGCTCGAGAAGTGGGCGGAGCCTGGGAAACGGGCCCTCTGCCGCTTGATAGGAAGGCTGGCTTAATACCAGTCTGTCAGGTACAGGCAGTCCTCGAGTTACGACAGACAAATCCGCCCAAAATGTATGTTGCTGAGTGAAGAATTTGTTGAGTGAGTTTTGCCCCATTTTACGACTTTTCTGGCCACCGTTGTGAAGTGAATCATTGCATTTGTTAAGCGAGTCACCCGGTTGTTAAGTGAATCTGGATTCCCCCTTGACTCCGCTCATCAGAAGGCCGCAAAAGGGGATCTCGTGACCCCCAAGGGGACACTACAGCTGTCATAAATACGAACCAGTTGCCAAGCATCCGAATTTTGATTATACGACCGTGGGGGATGCTGTAACGGTCGTAAGGGTGATACGTGACTTTTTTTTTTTCCAGTACCTTTGTGACTTGGAATGGTCACTAAATGAACTGTTATAAGTCAAGGACTATAAAAGGTGTTTTTTTTTCCCAAGAGGCAACCGGACCTACCTTGGTTTTTCTTTTGAAGACATTTCGCCTCTCATCCCAGAAGCTTCTTCAGCTCTCAGCTCTCTCTGGCTGGGGAATTCTGGGAGTTGAAGTCCTCCAGGCTGAAAGTGGCCAAGGGTGGAGACCCCAGCTACAGAGAACAAACTTGCTCACGGCACACGGTGGATCCCTGAGTCCAAGAACGGGGCTTCCCTGTGTCGATTCCCTTCAGCAATCTTGAGCTTTTCACATCCAGCCCAAAATAATTCCTTTGGGCTAGACAAATTCCCATTTCTAAGGCTACGCTGGAATTTGCTTATGTGGCACAATGGGTTGAGCGGTATATTTTAATACCGTCTTGCGTTATTTTTTTCTCCTTTGGCGTGTCTCCCTGTTAGAAATCCGGGGTGTAAGATTTCAGAGCAATTATCTCAGTGGTGAGAGAGGAAATTACAGGGTGTCTCGTTCTTCTGACCATCGCCGGCCTTCGCAGGAGAGATCAGCCGGGGTCTCGATAGACACAGATGAAGGGTTTCCTCTTTAGAGGCCGCAGGGGCCTTCAGAGTTGGAGACTGTAAGACAAGGACCTGCAAACATGTGTGGAGATTGTAGGCCAAGGTTGTTGGCCAGCTTTAAGGCTTGTGGACTTCAACTCCCAGAATTCCCCAGCCAGGGAATTCTAGGAGTTAAAGTCCACACGTCATAAAGTGGCCAAGGTTGACAAACATGGATGTAGGCCAGGGATCCCCAAACTTGGCCATTTTAAGACTTGTGGACCAACTCCCAGAATTCTGGGAGTTGAAGTCCACAAGTCTTAAAGTGGCCAAGTTTG